CTCGTCCGGATGTATCATATGCATTGAGTATGACTAGTAGATATCAGTCTACACCAGGTGAGGCTCACTGGATTGCGGTCAAGAACATCCTTAAGTACTTGAGAATGATTAAGGATTTGTTCTTGGTGTATGGCGGATTGGAAGACGAACTCGCTATAAGGGGTTATACCGATGCTAGTTTCCAGACCGACATAGATGACTTCAGATCTTTTCTGCCTGAACGGTGGAGCTATTAATTGGAAGAGTTCCAAACAGTCAATCGTTACAGATTCGACTACAGAAGCCGAGTATATAGCTGCATCGGATGCAGCTAAGGAAGCTGTTTGGATCAGGAAATTCGTGGGAGACCTGGACGTCATTCCTAGCATTGCAGATCCCATTGAGTTGTACTGTGATAACAATGGTGCGATCGTACAAGCTAAGGAACCCCGGTCACACGAGAGATCCAAACACATACTCAGACGATTTCACTTGATCAGAGAAATCATCGACAGAAGAGACGTGAAGATAAGAAGAGTGTCGACAAATGATAATATTGCCGACCTGTTGACGAAGCCTCTCACTTCGTCAAAACATGATGGTCATGTTAGGGGTATGGGGATTAGATGCTTGTAGGATAGATCATAGAGTATAGTGGGAGATTGTTGGTTGTGATGCTCTAGGATGATCCGTGATATGACACTTTGACTTTGTATTGATTCATTGGTTCATGAATGCATTACTCTTCCCGTTATATGATTGCCATGTTTGTTATATTTCGGTATCCTTGAATCATTAGAGAATGATAACAAACTTCCTGGTCAGTTATCATTGTGGGAACAATGATGAATTAAGACTAGCATGAGGTGTGTTGATGCATTGGATGCATATCACAATCATGGGTACTCGTTGTGAACGAGTGACTGGATGACCCGCATGAGATTGTCACATGGACAGAGTCATGACTTGAATCTCATACAGCGGTTCGTTCTTGGATCCTCAGACCTGAGATGTCTAGAGTATCTGATATGAGGAGTGGCGTGTCTTGACTGCGTCAAACGTCGTCTTTAACCGGATGATTATAACGGCGTTGATCAGATACGTTCATGAATCATATGGAGATAGTAGATATGCAATATGGGACTTGTCACCTCCTTAACAGGAGAGATGTCGCTGGGCCCCTCGTGGAAATCGGACTGTGAAAATACGTGGTCACGCTATAGATGAAGGTACATCTATTTTATCAGTCGATTTGCCTAGACGAGTAAGCGGTTGAACTTGAAGGGTGACACATACCATGCCCTTGTTCAACATATGATATCGTGAGACAAAGGATCAGAACTCGAGTT